TTTCTGCTCATCCGCCAACATGGATTTTTTGCTGTATCTCATCGTTTTTCCCCTGTAAATGCCGAGATATTGACATATTTTTCATTTGATGGAAATGAATAGAAAATTCACACTACATAAAATGAGATGTTGAGATTACCAAGGGTTGTTATGGGCTCTTTAAGAGGGGTGATGTTTTTGACACAATTCACCCCCGAGAAGGAAAAAAAAATCCGGATTGGGGGCAAATGGCCTTAAGAATTTAGCCCACCCGCAAAGTGACTTGAATTGCTAAAGGCGAGCGCGCGTATCAAAAGTTGTTAATAAATCTCCAATAATATTTCATGAGAGCTCTGCTCTGGAGAATGCAACAAGTTATACCGCTGAGGAAATTAATTTTCCTTTGAAGAGAGAATTTATGTTGTCGCTCAATCATTCTAATTTTAATCGATGCTCAGAGCATTTAGTGTCACGAGGCGATGAAAGAACACACAAAGTTGAATTTATGGATGGCGCGGCCAAACAAAGAAGAAAACCTCTTCTCATGTCACCGGACTCCGCCAACAATTCCTTACCTCTCGACCATCACCGCCGACCCACAACTCATGGGCAGGATTGACGGTTTTGCCCGGGAAAACTCTCATTGGGTGAACCAATTAAGAATTTTATGTTTATATCCATCAAAGTGAATTTCATCGAGAAACGTGAGATCCAAACTAAATGGCGAAATAACGTTCTTTTTTCCTCCTGGTTGCGGGGAGAGAGAGAGAATATGGCAAGAGAAGAGCTCATGAGTACTTTATTGTTTTGCGTGTTTTAATTCTATTAATTTGTTGCTTCGGCAAAAATTCACTCGCTCACTGGCACGAGGCAATAAAATCTCAAATATATATTTTCATACATCCCAATGTTGTGGTGTATTAAATCAATATATAAATTTTCCATCGTTGCACAATGGAATCGTGAATCGCCTTTTGAACATGAGGAAAATTCTCATATTTCTCTCCATTTCAGAGAGAAAATTGATTAATCACTGGATAAATATGAACACAAAGATCGAAAGTTTCATCTTTCTCCTTCATTTATTTCCCAGCCATTCCTGTTATTATATATCAAATTGACGAGAATCCCTTTTTGATCCACCCTCTTCATTTGGAGAATAAATAGTTTGGACGATGTTGAAGAGGCATCACACAGAATTGATCGGGGTTGAGCCATGAAATGTTGGAAATTCTCTCTCTCTCTGTATCGAGTTTTGATTGATTGTCCATCCAGAGATAGAAGTGTTCCGAAAATTAATAGCCTTTGTGATGCGATAGAGAGAATTTCAAACTTCAAATTTAATAAACCTCAATTGAGGAATTCAATTAATTCTCCGAGCATTGCGAAATATAATCTCTCTTCTGTGCCAATTGCAACTCTGCAGTTTTGCCTGGTGTTTGCAAGTGGATGAGTGGATGGAAAAAAGGAATGCGAGTGATATAATGTTTATTCAACAAATTGAGGCTAGACATCTTGAGGTTTTAATCAAGCAACCAATAAAAAATAAACATTGGGATTTGAACCATCTTCAGACAGAGCATTTCAATAAACGCTCCAATGCAACCAAATTCCTCGGCAAACATTTTATGAGAATTATTATTTTCCACTTTCATTCATTCCCTGGGATTTCTGGCAAATATTTTCCCACATCTTGAATTCAGTTCACGCCAAAATTGTGGTGATTTTTCAAAGGAAAACTTAACACTGCAACATTGTTTGGCATCATCTCAAATGTGTGTGTGTGTTTTTGAAAAAGTCAGCAAGAGAGGCTTCAAAGATGAAATGCAGAATAATATGGGAAAGATTAAGTGGTGGTAATTTGTCAAAAGAACATACAAATGACTTCCTCAGAAGTCGAAATTCACACAGTGGATGATTTGGTGGACTGAAAATCGTTCAAAACCAATAAAAGTTTCCAAAAATTTACGACTCATCGCCTTTTTATTGGTTAGCCAATGCCTTTGAATGGTGCCATTGGCACTTTATCCCTCGACAGAAAGAAAAAAAAAACTATCGTCAATATATTCCCAAGAAGAGACACATTTCCCGGGGATGGAGAAAAATTTTACAACTTTCTATATCTGAGCAGTAAAGATTCCCATTAAATGTCATGACTTTTTCTCTCCTCTTGTTGAAAGCTTTGGTGGATTTTTTTTTTCTTTCCAGCAAATAAATCACAAAACCGACAGAAGAGACTTTTCCTGTGCGGAAAATTCTCAAGTGTGACTATTTATAATTCATAGAAATGCGAAGAGATTCGTGCGTTCCGCTATTCGTCACTTTCTTACACTAAATCTTGCATATAAAGTATTATAAATAATACAGAAGCACGCGCTTGAGGTTCATTGCAAGTATTAAAGAATGCTCTCTATAAATACATATAAAAGGAAAAATGATCACATAATGTTTATTAGGATTTCCTCTTCTCCCACAGAGAAGTAAGAGAAATCTGGGATGGTGTGACGAAATGCTTTTATATGATGTTCTGACTCTATTACCTGATGCTTATCTAGTTCATGTGGTCCGAATTAACCCCAATTCATAATCATAATAATTAATTGAACTGAAGACTATGGCATCTGATGCGGAAATCTCATGATATTAGGCTTCTGATTTGAAATTTAGCACTGCAATTCAGCCAGTAAAACGTCGCATTTCAAGAATTTTTATTCCATTACAAGACCAAATACCGCCTTTTATGGATAAATTGACTTTCGTTGGAGTTGTGTATGTTGAGCTCAGGGATTATTCTTATGGCTTGTCACCTCACGATTTACACATTAAGCGTATAATGGCTTCCTATCTCGATCGAAATGAAGCCTCCATGCAATGAGAAAAGTAATTTCTTCCCATGGTGTTTGTCTCCTGCAGCTCTCCCGGTCTTTGTTCTGGGACCAAGTTTGTGAGCCTCTATCTTCGGGTTTTTGGGATGCTTTGAAATTTAGAGACTATTTAGCGCTTCATTTGACGCTATAATTGAGAGAGTGTCAAGTGGCGTGGCTCATAAGGCGTTTTAGGGGAGAGCAAAAGACACACTCTGCTCAAATATGCAAATACTTAAAATGCAGAGCAATACTCATCATTCTTATTTGAGTATTTCCATCCACAAACACTTTTTTCCTCTCTCTTCTTCTCTCAGAATCTCCCCTTGTGTGATCGTCAAGCCGACCATATGGCTACTCCTCATGGAGTTATTGAACCTTGGCGCCAATTCATTTGCCACTTTGTTGCTGTTGTGTTTGAGTCAATTTGCCCTCGTCGCCGCATTGATGGGCTCATGAGCCACTCCTAGATTCTCGCCATAGACAAATTGTCTCGAAAATCACTCAAATCCCATTCAGAGAGAGACTTGGTGAACAGCTGACTAGAAAAAATAGACAAAAACACACACGTTGAGCACAGAGAGTTGTCAAAAGGGCAAAGAACAGCCAGAGCGATTGTAATCTGAAATAATGTCTTCCTCTCCCCCCACCCCTCTTGACCCATTTTATAATTGCACTCAACTGTGGAAATAGCCTATTTTCCACAACCCCTGCTCAAATGTGGCGCGCGCGATACTCTCTGTGCCTCTCAGCATTTGCATATTATGACTCAATTTAGTCACACTGAAACGTCTTTTTGCCTCCGTCAAGACCATATCACTCGACAATGGGCGTGCGGTGGTGGTAAAAAAGAAATAATACTGTTTTAGTGAAGTGTTTATTTATAGACCTTCACTGAGTTGACTCGCAATATGACCGAGATATTAGCGAAAAATTAGTCTCTTTCACACAACATTTCGTAATATTTATACCTCTGCGTGTGGTTGACCTTTCAAATGAGATGCGGAAGTGGGTGAAAAGAGATTTTCACGGAACTTTTGGGCACTTTTACACATTATATTTTTAGGGTGTTTCATGAATAGATGAGAAACTTGAAGGCTCTGTGAATAGCTAAGATTTCAAATTTCAAGATTATTTACAATCGTGTAATTATCGTAAAAGCTTTAAATAGCACGAAGAGAGAATGACAAAAGACATTCATCTCAAGAGCAAATGGTAATTGGAAACATATTTGCAGAAATTCACATTTCGCGTGGAGGAACATTGCGAAATTCATCTTGTCTTGAAGAGTTTCACCGCGCCAGAGACAGGAATTATTCAGTCGAAAGGAGGGATTCTTAGAGCATACAAATAAAATTAATAGAAGACTCTGTGCGCGGAGGGTGAAAAACTTTCAGTTAGAAAATCATGTTGACAGGAAAACATATTGAATTTGTAATTCTTGTGTTTTTGGCGTGACTTGAATATGAATGAAGATGGTTTTGTGGATGTTGTGTGCGGTTGGGCGAATATATTGAAATTAGAGAATGAAAAAGTCCTTGTGGTTTTTTTTCTGTCTCTTCTTTTTGTGTTGTATATATTTATCTGTAATTGATTCGCCCCCTAATAAGATATAACCACTTCAAAATTTGCCTTATGAATATAGATTGCTTTATTTCCTCTGCATCAACGACGATTCTCTCTCTGCACAGCCAAAGACAATCGGGCATTAGGGCGTGCAGAGATATGTTGTGTGCTGGGGAAAAGCAAGTGGCTGTATCAAATTTATTTATCATCTCCTCTAAATATATGTAGACTGTTAATTAATTACACTGCATCACGATGGGAGTTGTAACACTGTTATTTGATGCTCTCATATCCGAATAACAAGTCTTGTATTGTTGATGGAATGCTCTCTGTGAGAGAGGATTTCATCGGGGAAAAATGTCTAAATGCGTGATGATTCATATGATTAATAGGCGACATTTAACCTCTCCCATTATTTTAGTAACTAATAAAATACACCACAATCTTAATGTTCTTTCTCCTCTCTTTCTCTCCCCCTTTTTCTACAAAACAGATAACCAAGATGCTTTAGTGTGGCGAGAGTTCAACGAAAAATCATCACTTTTTTTCGTGTGATTGCCAACAATATTCAATTGGAAGTTGACGTCCAGTCGCTGTGGCTTCTGTTGGAAGGACACCAATTGTCGTGAGAGAACAACTCTAACATTGCCAGCTTGTGCGACAATTTGAGAGCGACAATGATCTCAAGGAATGCTAAAAGCAGCCATCTTCAGTGGAGCATCATCATTGCGATTGGGAGTTTAATTGTTGCCACGGCTCAGCATGACTTTCAATTTGAGAATGCAAATAACGAGGAGGATTTGCAGGTAAGATGAAGAATTTCCTGATGAATTTTTTCCCCTTCCCAAAACATGCTTTGTCTTTCTGCCTCTCTGTGCGCTTTGGGGGAAAATTGCAGAAATACAGACTTTTTTGCAACGAAGACAAACTGCGCATATGGAAATCATACACACACAAGAGAGATTTTCAATGGGAAGCTATTGCACAACAACAGAAACAAAGTGATAATTTCTTTGAAAATTCTCACAGCCACAAAAATGTCGAGATTTCAATCCATCCAGAAATTGTTGTTTGGTTAGAGAAGCAATATTTTAACACTCCCCGCAAAAGACTTCCACTGACTTCACTTTATCTGCTTCCAGCAGATTACTTTCTCTCGGGAAGCTTCTAAAATTGAGGTGTAGACTTGCTTCTGAAGCTCATGCGATAAACAATGAGTGTTTTCGAAAAGTTGTGTGCTGTTCGCATATGGCAGAAAGCCCACTTTAGTGCTTTTCTGCCAGCGTCCAAAATTTAAAAGCTGTCGAGAGCTTGAAAGTTTTATGAATTTCTGAGACACGCAAGGAAGTTCTTCCCTCTCTTTCTCCTTCTCCAAAGTAAATTACTTGTAATTTAACAGCACAAAATATGAGAAATATTTTATCTGTATGTGTGTGTTTGGGCATTCGTAGCTGAGTAAGAAGAGTAGAAGTTATTGATTTTTGCGTGTCGCAACTTGACAAAATTCAGCACTGCAAATAACTTTGCTTTCCATTAACCGATCATTTGAATATTTCACATCTTCCACAAGGCATCATCTGTGGCAAGGTGAGGAGTCCTCCGATGATGGGCCAAAATGTCTCTTGAGTGTATGTTTTGTGTGTCTTTGAGGAAATGCCTCAATAATTAATCAATTATCTGTGAGGCATATGCCGTCAATTTTCTGGCAAGGAGCGCACAGAAGACTTGTGAGGATAAGGGGCCGATTTAGGGGCTGTTGACAAGGGTTTTCGGAGGCGGAGAATAATATGGATTTGTACGTGGTTGGGCTCCCTGATGAGTTATTGATCGAATGTCCCCGTAATTGCTGCCATAGTGCCTTGTCAAAGGTGATGGCATAACTTCAAATCCGTGTGTGTGTGTCGCGTCGAAGGGATTAAATGGGCGGACTGTGTTTTGTACCCTATTCCGCAGGTACAGACATCACTCACACCTCCTGACCCTTTCGCTCGGATAAAAATTCACCAAACTCACGCTGACTGACGATCCAATTTCTATTTTATATTTTTTGCCCAAATTTACACAGCCAATGGTGTGGAAGAGAGAGATGCACAGATTTTCCTGCTAATTCAATCAAATGAGAAGTCAATAAATTGTGTGTGAGGCTTTGTAATGAAAAGAGCTCTTAAGTGGAACACTTGTTATTTAATCACAATTTTCATTCTCTATACCAAAATCGATTCATTGTCCATCAACTTCTCCCCCCCCTTCATGCAATTCTGTCTGCGTGTTTAATAATACACAACATAAAGTATAATGTTTCATTGAACTCCGCAGTGTTGCATACCAATTAGATAAATCCAATTCTGCATAGCATTCAATTGACTGGGGAGAGAGAAAGAGAGACATTTTAATTGAAATATTGCTTCGATTGTCGGAAGAATGCTCGCAATGGTGAAAATGCTGTAAAGATGCAAAATCATGCACAGAAAAATGCGAAATGCTTCAAAATATCACCGATGGTGGGAGTTTGTGAAGAGTGTGATGTTCTGTTGGAGAAAAACATTTGGGTGTGTGTTTTCAATGGGATTTTGTGGGGTTTCCACTTACAGACAGATTCTCTTTCAACTGCACCCACTATAGAGAAAATCAAGCTTCAGTGCTGAAAATGTATCAATTGAAAAATAAGAAAAAGGATTTCCTTTTGAATCACGTTCCCATCTTTGATAGCACACAAGTTAGCATTGTTTCTATAATTTTGTGTAAAAGTTCAAAATTTCATTCTTCTGTAATTTTCATAGAAAAGTGAAAAGCATCGCGTCGCAAGAGTCGCTCTCTTTCATTTGTAGTCACTTGCAGTGCCATGGCGTAGAATAATTTCACTTATGGAGTGTGTCTCTAATTCAACCAGAGATTTTACAGCACTTAAAACAAGACACTTATTTGTGCGCTTTATTATCTACAATCATAAGAGAGTGTTTTTCTTTTTTTCTTGCCTCCCAACAAACTCAATTATTGGCGCGCGATGTTGGTTTTTGTGTCCTCTTGAAGAGAGCGCGAGAGGAGAAGAGATAAAAGAGTTGAGCTGAGGCCATATAGAAGAGGCCTCAGATACATTCCACGCGAGATTTTTATTTTAAATCCCCAATGAATGGAGTGTGCTGAATGCTGAGAAACGTGCTAAATGCAGACCTTTGAGAATCTCTTAATGAAATCTTCCTGTGTTCATTTTTCCATTTGTCATAAATCAATGCAGCCCGTAAATCTTAATTAGTAAAGAGAGAAAGAGAAGAGATTTCTTATCTCACAAAATCTTACTATATGTCTTCTTTGTCATCCTTCATAGCTTGTCTTCACGGAGCCAGTGGAGCAGATTGCAGAGACGGTGAGACCGACGAAAAATACGCACTATGAAAAGGTGAGGAAAATCTCACAGCAATTCTCCCAGTGCAGACAAATACATTTTGGATTATTTCCTCTCATGGGGAAATCCTCTTATTAATATTTCAGGAATTATCGCAATGTCCCCATTCGGAGAGCAAAATACTCCTCTCACTTGTGCTGAAATCACAAAGTTGGAGTAATATTGTTGACAATAAGAAGACTAAAGCTGTAAATAAGCTTTCCCGGTTCTTCATGATCCCAAAGGTATGTTTTGGAGTGAAAATCTCCTAAATTTTCATAACAACTCCAGCACACACACAACAAGGAATATCATTAGGAAATTACTTCATGAATTTGCAGAAAGTCCTTTAGACTCTGCCAATTTAGGGGGGGTGGAATTTCTCAACTGTGTGACTAATAGAAATATATTGTGGATGATAATTTTGATAAATGTTAATTGTTTCTCTCTCTCTCTTCGGTTCTATTGCAGAATTTTTTCCACTTTGACGACATTTCGAGGCGTGACATTTACGAAATGGTAAAATATTCATCGAGTCGCGGTCCGAGTGCGCCAAATGTGGGTTCTGGCAAGAAAGTAGGACGAATAGAATTCGTGGTAAGTAACTAATGATTTATGAGAAAGAAGCTCACATTTCAGAAATATTAATATCTTATATTGTTCGTCTTAATGTGAATTTTTTTTATTGGGAGGGAAAGAAAAGAAGAGAAGAAAAAAAGCCCTGAAGCACTTCATAAAACTTCCACTGTGAAATCTTAGATTCACATCTTATATGTTTGAAATGACGGCTGAATTACAGTTAGTCCAGGATATTGAGATGACATTAGAGATTTTCACTTCTTTTCTCTCAGTGAACAATTTATTCACCATCATCGCGCGTCTCATCAAAAGTCCATTTTTACCATCAGAATCTCTCGACTGTTTATGCGTTCCTTCGCTCATCAATGCTTCTTCTTTTATTTTTCCCGTCCTTCTCTGCTGCTCCAAAAAGGTGGGCTGCGACAATGAACTCTTCCCCACGGGCAAATTAATTGCCAATCAAATTGCGGAACAGATGAAGGATGGCACCATTGCGGATATCTCTGGCCTGGACTTTGAGTGGTGGTCCGTGAATAGACGACGTGCAAGCAATAGGTGATTATGCCATCCCTTCAATTATTCCACCAAATTGAATGCCGCAATTTCAGAAGAGCCTCAATTACATCATTTCATTTCCTTTCCCTTTTTTTCTCCCTGCACACACAGAGTTCCGCGGACAAAGCGCGAAACGGAAGGATCCGGCGAGGATGAGTATGATGAATACTATGACGAGGAGGACGAGGACGAGTAAGTTTTGTTGTCGCAGACAGATTCTTCTCTCCCCAGTGATTCTTCATCCCGCAAACGCACACGCACTCTCGAGAAAATCCAACGCGGAGCTTTTTGTATTTTTAATCCCCTTTCCTCGTGTGTTATACTCTTCGCCAAGATGGGGTTTTAGCACGAGGGTTGAACATTTTTTCTTCGCAGTCGTGCCGCATTGAGAAATTGAAGAGACGGAAGCTGGGAGAAGATTTATTATTCACCACTTTTGATTCTTCCTGCCCTTCGATCCCCTGTCACAGCGACAAGTGATTTATCGCTGACTTTTTTGCCCTCCTCACTTCGTCTTTGCCATGCGATGGAGTTAAAATATGCCCACACTTGTGCGGAAATTTTTTCCTCAGACAACATATTTTATATATCATTACTTACTTTAGTTTCAATTTCATTCCAGCCATTCGATATGGGTGGGATTTTGCCTCACCCTTTTTCTATTTTGCTATTTTTTTTTGTCTCGGGAAGAATTCCTTCCTATTTCCCGCCATTTACGCTCTCTTATATGCTTTCCTCTCAAAATTCTATCCTGTTTTTTTTTCTCTTTCAATTTTTCACCATGTGAACAAGAGTAAGAGAATATTTATCGTTTGAGGCTTTTTGTGCACGAACACTTTCTTATCCCGTGTTTCAGAGTTGTTGTTGTGACGAAGAAAACATGTAGATTATAGGCAAATCAATAAGCATAGTTCTCTCTCTAATCAATATCCTCAACAACTCTGAGCACCGATAGAGACTTCCTTTCCACGTTTCCCGTGTGTCGTTTGCTTGGGGAGTCACAGGAAAAAATTGCCCCATAAGAATGAGTGTTGTTGGTGAGAAATCTCATTATTTCCCTTCGTTCTTTTCCCTATATTCACGCTGCCAGAGAGGAAATAACCGAAGTGCCAACCGTATCAACACATGCACATCGACATCATGGTGATACCAACGTAAGTAGCCCGCCAAATATAGTCCAAAATATCCTCCCAAAGTGGCAGAAGGAAGAAATGTTGTACTTCTGCCCTTTTGCCAACCATGTGAATATAAATCAAAAATTTATTTTCCTCCTTATCATCCACGAAAAACCGAGAGAAAAAGATGCAATTCATGCAAAGTGCTGTAGCAAAAGTGTTACCCGTTTTTTTCTTCCCTTATATATATATATTTACTGTTAAATGTGTTGCCGTTAATGGAAAAAGCTCAGAAAAGGTGTGGTCTTCGAAGTGTGTTCTGTGGCATTAATATAAATAATTTGATGTCCCTGTTATCATTCCTGAAATGACCATCTTTTTGGGTCATTTCAATTCATAATCATCATCATATTTGGTGTGGTGTTTTTTTTCACTTACATTTATTATTACTGTCTGTATTTTGCGTTTTTCTTGTGTTTTTTTTCGCTCATAATTACTCATTATATATAAACTTCCCATTCCATTTATTTTTGTGATAAATGACATTATATAATTCTTTGATTTTTTTTGTCCTCTCTGTGATTTTTATCATCCTTTTACACTAACAATCATTTGTTTCCTCTCTCTCTTCTCTTTTCCACTCGTGCCAAGGAGAGAAGGCTTATCCTTTTCCCCCTTAAATGAAAGTAAAATTGTTCCTCTACATGTTTTATTATCTCTGTTCCCTTTCTTTTGAGCCACATTGAAAGAATGAGCGGCTCAAAAGCCACTTTATCCACTTTTATGTATTACACACCAATTTTTCCCCTGGAAAAAATCTCTGTGGCGAGTTTGTTGAGAAGGGGAAAATTGCTCAATCAATACTGGCGCGGGAGGTGTAAATAAAATTGCATATTACGTGAAATTTCACACTAATTTTCCCCACTGAAGAGATTTACGAGGGTGGTTTGGAGATAAAAAAAAGCATCGGATAAAAGGTGAACGATGTTTAATCTTTGCTTATATCGATAGCTTTTGGGTGGGTTGATTTTTTCTTTTCGGGGGTTCAATCGATTTTTTTCCCACCCTTGTGATTTGTTGGGAGAACCACTTTTCCTTACCTTTTCAGGGGCATTTCTTGTGCCAACAAGTGGGTCATAAGATAAATTAGAATTGGTCCAAGAGTGAGACTCGAGAGAGTTGACAATTTTCAATACAGAAATATAATGTGATGTAGTTTAATTTCATAAAATCCACCCTACATTGTCCGGACACTGGGAGGAAAGATATATCCAGTGGAGAAGAGTTTCTGTGGTTTCTTTTCCCTTCAGAAGATTCTATTAGTGGTTACTCTTTGATTGCATTTCCACAAAGGCGGGAGAAGAGGAAATGATAGGAATGAATAGAGTGAGAGAACTTAAAAGCTCTATAGAGAACTTTACAATTAAGTAGAGAATGTTTGTGAATTTCTTTCAGTGCCTGTGAAGAAAGTAAATGTGTATCTTCTTTGTGTAAAATGTCGTAGAGGTCGTTAAGGGGAGGAAAAGGGTTAATTAAGTAAAAGCTTTTATCTCCTTTCTTTATTGACAAATATACACGCCACAAGAATCTCCTTAACACTTTGTACTTCTGTGTACATGTAAAGGCTGTGGGTCTCTAATTGAGCGTCTCTCTTCGTCTTCTTCTTCTTCTGGGCGGTGGGAATTTTCTTACAACCCAACAAAGGTTGTGTAGCGCAGTAGAACATTTGGCAGAATCTCTCTCTCTCTCTCTCAATCTTTCTCTGAAAACCAAAAAGAATCTCTGCAGGATTGTAAATAAGTCTTACGAAAAATTTTCTTGTCTATTTCTTTCTCTCTTTATTGCTTCCATCGCAGATTTTAGAGCGCGATAGTAGAATTGGTCTGACAAAGACAGTTCAGACACACGGTGGTCCTCATATTCAATTGGTGGCGGACAGTACGGCGGGGAAAGTGCTTGACAATCTCGATCCCGATATTCGGGAGAGTGTGTCAATTCTGGAGTCGGAGATTTCAAAGACAATAGAGAATAATATGAGCAAGATTAAGGAGAATGAGGAGGAGCTGGAGAAGATATTGGAGAGTGCGAAGAAGAAGAAGCCCACGGGCATCTTTCCGGACACATACAATGTGGCGGAGGAGAGCGATAATGATGACTTTATCACGCCAATTATCGAGACAATTCCGGAAGATGAGCAAATTGAGATCATCAAGAAGCCTCTGCCGACGCCATCGACTCTGTCACCGTCAACGCAGCGCCACACGACACAGCTGCCGGTCACGTTGGCCGGGAAGAAGGGCATTGAGGATGATTATGTGATTGAGGATGTGTCCCACATGAGGAAAGATGGCATGAGGCCAAGATATGGGAAAGATTTCGACACCACGGCCGCCCATGTGGCCAGCACCACGGTGACCACGGAGATCAGTCGAGGTGGTGGTGAGGATGTGTGGAGGCCAGTGACGAAGGCGTCGGGTGGGCATGAGGTAAAGGCAGTGACAAGTAGCCAAACGGCAAGTGAATCGACCGAGGTGACCACAAAAAGCACATTCCGTGACTCTCAGACCACCCCAAGCACACCTCTGGCAAGCACAGAGAGTACACAGCCAGAGCAAACAAGCACTTCCACCTCCCTGGCATCGCCAACACCCACCCAGTCCTCCCCGAATGCATTCACCGCCACGACAGCCAGTGCCACGGTCAAGGTAAGAAAACCGGGAACGCTCGGCGTTCGGGGGAGACCCTCAAGACCAACCACCGCGACCAGAGGACACCCGCCGGCGTCACATGAAATTGATTCCTACAATTGGGACTTCCCGCAGCCACTCTGCCACCCATTAGCCCACTCCGGGAGTGCCATTTGGGGCGGGGCAAAAAGCTCACGAGAAGAATACTCTGGCGGACGTTTTGTTCTCTTGAAGTTGATTTCTATCATGAGTTTTCTTCCCTTTAAATACTTTCGAGCAACTGGAAAGTACCACTTCAATTTATACTCCAATTATAAATTTTCTTCTCGTTTTCCCGAAGCTGACAAAGAAGGGAATTCACTATATATATAGACAGAGTGAAATTTATGCTGCGCTCAACAATGGAATTCGTGCGGAGTTTTTCTCACTCAATAATCAACTCTATATCGATTACATTTTCCTCTGCACTTCCCGAGGCGCGCGGAGGGAAAGCTTGCGCTGATGTGGAAGCCACGAATTTCAAATAATTCCCTCAAGTTGCGAATTTTAATTGCCACCCCGCATGAGGCGAAGCTCGGAAAGAAAGTCTCACACCTTCTTCTCCGGCACATTAAGCCGATGCACTCAATTCCAACCCCTTGGAACTATTGTAGGAGGAGTTTGTGGGGGTTGAGACAATTAGAGCGTCCGCCAAGTATCTTCCCGGGAGCGCGCGAGGCGCTCAAAAAGTGACGCCTTGTGCGATGTTCACTTGGCAACAAGACACGCTAAGGAGTTAATTGTAGGAATCAATTTGGGATTCAATTTTACACACGCGTTGCAGTGAGACTTCGTGAATTTATATTATTAAATTCCACTGTGTGAGGTTTTATTTTATATATTTTTGTAATATCATTTGTTGGTCCCTTTTTGTATACACAAAATTATCACACGAAGTTGTTTTGCTGCACCATGAAATGGTTTCTGTTGTGAAGATGTCCTTTCTCCCGAGAAACAAATACCCCCAAAGCCATGAGTGACTAATTATGCTTATGCCAGCCTCATTTGTCTCCTAATCATGCACACAAGTTACTAACGTTATATTGCATGTGTTCACGAAAAAGTCCTTCTCTATCTCTCGAATCACACACTCCATATATATACATATATATAAATATTTATATCGTGAATTTCCACGGGACAAAACCACTCTGTTAATTCTGTACAGATTTTATATAATTTAATGCGATTCTTTTGATTTTCAGCACAGATTTTGAGTTTTTTTTTTCAATCACAAATCAATTTCCGGGACACTTTTCTCACCTCACTTTCTCTCTCTCTTCCTCTTTCCCGCTGTGCAGGAAGCTGACGAGGAGGATGGTGAAGAGTTGCCTGACGTCGTGATTCCAGGAGTCACTCTTCATCCGGCAACAACACACAGATTCCCGGAAACCACGCCGTCAAGTGTCGCAGACGAGAAGGTGAGATGAAGTCATACATGAATTTATCCACCCTTCGAGAGTAAATTGACTTGAAATTGAATTAATTACCATCAGCGCATTCGCAGGGCGGGAAAATATGTTTTTTTTTTCTTTGTGTATCATTTCCATTTTCAATTTACGCAAATAATTAATCATGCTTTGATGAATTTATCAAAATTTGAATAATGCAAAAATAATATGTTGTCAATTAATTCGATTTCGGGTGGCAGGATGTATTTGAAGAGTAAATATTTTAGTTTGATGGAATTTTCAGTGGGATTTCCCATTGGCAAAGCCTTTAATTTTCCATTCCTGAAATAATAAATTTACATTTTACACGCTCGTGCAAAATTGTGTTATTTGTCCGTTGAATGTTGCGGACAAAATTTAATTTTCACACAAAAGCCCATAAATTCACTTATGTTATTACATCGCTCTGTGATTTGCAGACTACGCGAGTGGCTGTGGAAACAACGCCGCCGGTGAGGACAGGATCAGAGACACGGTTTTATGTGCCGCGAGTGGGAACGACGACAGAATCATCAGATGACATTGATGATGATGACGATGAGGATGAGAATTCGCGGACTTCTGTCTATGATCCTGTGTCCACGGCCTCGGCGACAACTGAGAGCTCCAGTGCGCCCACAACAACGCCACTTCTCACCACGACAACCACCGAAAAAGTGGTCACGACGACTGAGTGGTTCGAGCCAGAGGCGGTGAACAAGCCACCCGTGATCAGGAATCGCCTCCCGAAGCAGGCGCTCACCGCGGGAAAACCATTCAGGTGAGACCAATTGCAATTTACCTGCAATTTCCGTGGGAAATTGAGCTGAACGTGTGACACTAATTGGGCCCATGTTATCATCACATTCGCAAATTAGCCTCCACGTTCCCCTGGAGACGTTCTACGACGATGAGGATAGGAATAATTTGCAATTAGCGCTGTATGACAAGAATGATCATCCCCTGAAAGCCAATTCCTGGATTCAATTCAATGTGGATACAAGAGAAATTTATGGACTGTGAGTATTTGCCATTTAGTTTTTGGTTTATTTGACTTTTGTCTCTTCGATGGGTGAAAATCTCTCTTGCCTTGACATTTCTATTGATTTTCAATTGAACTTTTCGTCCAATTATTTGTCTTTTGTGGTGAGATTTTCAGGAATTGTTCCTGGAAAGTTAACTCGCCTGAGGAAGTTTATGTTGAAAACTAACTCTTAAAAGAAGAATTGAGAAGTGTTGAGATGACATTAATTAATTGATTATCAAATACAGACTTTAAACGCTCATTTATTCATCAAATACACAAAGAACTTTCCTTAACTCATAAACTCATCTTCACCACTTTAAAAGGATTATGTCAATTCAACTCCTTGCATTGTCTTTAAAAGGTCACACAAAAGATGGGCTAAAAGAATTGCCAACGGGTGTAAATTTTTTTCTCCCAAGAATGTGGAAAATGCTGAAAGTTATAAATCCGGAAGGCATCTTTTCCACTCCTTTTTTTCCCTTCAAGAGTTTCCTCTCCAGAATGGATTACAGGAGAGAGAGAATCTTTGTTTCGTGTGAAGCACAAGAAGAGCACACATAACAACCATTGCTTGTTGAGAGATTTTGGAATTATGCCAAGAAGGATTTGTGTAATATTTTCTCCAAAATACGTGAACAAGAAAGATTATCAACCGTTGAGGACTTTACAATTGTTCTGCCAATTTAATTATTCTGGATTATAAAGGAATAAAAAAATATTGCGAAAGAGATTATTATGATAAATACGAAATGTCGTTGAAATTCTCTGGAGTGTTGTTGTTGGAAAATCGATAAATTGACCTGGATTTTCTTTGCGTTTTCCCCAATGACTTGTAAATTTTGGGAAAGAATTCAATGGAATTTATGACTTTTTGGTGATTTTTCTGCTTCTTCCCTCTCGCCAGGCCTCTTGAGGACGCTGTGTCACGTTGGCAGTATCGTCTGCATGCGACAGACAGCATTGGCCAGAGTGTCACGGAGACGCTGGACATTTCCGTGCAGCAGCACAAATCGCACAGGAGTGCAAATCATGAGATCAGCATTGGGATTCGCCTGAATGAGAAGTTCAGCAATAGCGTGGATTGGCAGATGAAGGTGGTGCGAGGCATTGTGTCAGCCATGGGCGACGCCAACATGAACAGCGTGATTGTCCGGGAGATTAGACACAGTCAGCAAGATCCCAATTCCGCCACTTTTGTCTACACCAACGAAACCCTGCCCAAGGACAGATGTTCTGAGGAGGAGCTGGAGAATCTGGTGAAGCGTCTGCACACGAGAGCCTTCTCGGACGCTCTTCTGCCGGAGATTGCGCTCAAGTCAGTCACTGGACAGCCAATTGGACCGTGTCAGAAGCAAGCTGTGCCCAAGGCGAAACCCACGCCAACGATCTCAAAGAACTTCCCGCCGGTGCCGAGGAATCAGGTGGACAGAGTGAATGCAACTGTTGGACAGTTGCTGATCTTCCAGGTGCCGCAGGACACGTTCTATGATCCGGAAGATGGCACGAATCTGAGGCTGTCTCTGTTGTCGCTGGAAGGATCGAAGCTCGATGCGAAGCATTGGCTGCAGTTTGACTCGAAGAATCAGGAATTCTATGGCATTCCCAAGCCGGCAGATGTTGGTCAGCGCGAGTATCTCCTCGTGGCTGAGGATCGGGAGGGACTCACGGCGACTGACGCTCTGGTTGTGGTGGTCAATCATGCACCCAAGAGAGACTACAGCGCACTGTTCGAGATGACTCTTGGCATTTCCAATGACAACTTCAACAACTCAGCCACTCAACGGAGATTTATCGAGAGAGTTGCCCAAGTGTTTGGTGATGTCTCAACTGCTAACATTCAGGTTTCTGTCCACACATATATATGTTAAGATGCACAAAAGACAAGAGATAAATCTCTCTAATCTCGCTTTACTGATTTTGCAGGTGAGATCAATTCGCGCTCTTCATCACTCTGGACACACTCTCGTCAGTTTCTACAACACCACAATTTATCGCCTTCATCACATGTGTCCACACGATGAGATTGAGGTCCTGAGAAATGTCCTGATGCACTCTGACGCCTCCGTGCGCAATCGCGTGCGTGACACAATTGGCACGGAGTTCAATCTGCTGAGTGTGAATCTGATTCCGGCTGGCACTTGTCAGGGCACTGACACCACGTTCCACGATCCCTTCGTGCCCATCAAGACGGAGGACAAGCCCGCGCCCACCTTCAAGGACGACTACCTGCTGACCTTCGTGCTGCCGGCTGTGATCATCCTGGCAATGCTGCTGCTCGCGTCCATCATCGCTTGTGTGCTGCACAGACGACGCTTGACGGGGAAGATGGAGCTCGGGGATGAGGAGGAGAGGCGATCGTTCCGCTCCAAAGGCATTCCAGTGATCTTCCAGGATGAACTCGATGAGAAGCCAGAGATTGGGAATAAATCTCCGGTGATTCTCAAAGATGAGAAGCCTCCATTGCTGCCGCCATCCTACAATAGCACCAATCCAGATGGTAAGAAATGAGCCAAATGACTGTTAAATTGCAAGAAATTGAGTGAATCTCTTATCTTTGACGCGTAAATAGGTGACAACGAGGATGTGGATGAGTACGTGCCGCCGCCGGCCGTGATTATCGGCGGACGGGAGAGCCGAGGAAAGTCCCCAGTCACGCCATCATACAGGAAGCCACCGCCGTACGTATCGCCTTAAAGGGACGCCCAAACAATCATTTGTAAAATCGAGTCATACTTTTAAGAGAGAGAGAGAAAAGAAAGAAACACAGCTGAGAACAAATCGCGACTGCACAAGAGAATGACGACTTTTCTAAACATTCTTTTACGACAGAATTACGCATCGCACATTTTTCTACAAAAAAACCATCAAGAAAGCATTATAATATATTTTATCATTAATGATGAGGAGAAGGTGAAAAGAGAATCATTTTTATCTTTTTTATCATCTATCAACATCTTAGAATTAGCTCCTATATTTAGTTGTTTAAGTGTGAAGAAGTCTTTTGCGTAAATTATTTTCTCTTTTTTTTCATGTGTATAATTATAATATTTTGTGTAATTTTGTGTTTTTTCTTTTGCGACTGACGACGAATTTTCATCAAAACCGCACGCGAGGCGCGCTTTTTCGATGTTTATCGCGAAACAAGAAGAATCCTTATCATGTGAAAATTCACTGCCAAAACCAAAAAAGTAAAAAAAGGTAAAAGGAAGAAGGAAAAGTGAAGATTTCCGAGGAATTATCCGTGTTTTAACTGCGCACTTTAGGACTCTTTCGTATCACTGCGTAATTAAGTGAGGAGTTTAGGGTGACTTTCAATGATAATCTGGACAAGTAGTGAAGAAATTTGTAGTTGTTTGCAAGACCAGTAGATGAATCCATTTAGTAATCTATAAAAAATATGAAATAATTGCTTCCAATTCCCAACGTTTTTACAAGAAAAAAACACACACAAAAATGACTATCTTTCAGGCTAATACAAGAATGAATAAAAAGTAATATTCTTGAAGGATATTTTTTAAGGAATTGCAAATGCAGAGAAAATCAATTTAATTGAATGAAAAGAAAAAATCTATAATGGAAAATAGACAACCAATATAATTGTAATGTACTATATATTTTTATAAAATAAGATTGATAAAGAAAAAAAGTAATGAAAAACCACAAAATATATAGCGATTAGAGATACATTTTTGCAAACAATCATTTTTTACCGCAAACATTTTATTAATCACAATCTCTTGATATATCAGCGAAAGCGGAGAAAGATTAGGAAATGGAAAACTGATCATTTTTTACGGTTTCTGTGCGAATCACACGAAGACTTTATCAGTAGAAATTTTGGTATTAATGAGATAAAGGAAAAAGAATCGACCTCAAAACCAGCACGAACTCAATAATAATAAATAAACTCATTTCTCGATGTGAGAGAAAGAGAGGATAAAATACTAAATAAGGAAGTGAATATAAGGAAATTATATAATTGTGGCATTTTATTTGTGAAAGTATAAAACTCTAATAAACTCTATTTACTAGTGTCTAAAAGGAGGTAAAGCCGAAGGAGAGGAATAATAACCGTATGACCTATGTAAAAACTATATTTAAAAAAAAAATTGATGAGAAAAAAAGTATACAGCGATGCATTAATCAATTGTGGACATTTTTGTACATAGAGAACAAATACTAAAAAAAAAAGATAAAAGGTGAATCAATTGGAGTGGAATTAGTAAAAGAAAAAAAAAGAGTAGAGAAGCTTTTTCCTAGGGTCGTAGTATGATGAAAAGAGGGAGTCAGGAATCATTAAGGATTATATAAAGTTATATAAGATGGAAGGAAAATCTGACTATTTTGTGTAGTGCAGTGAAAAAACAATAAGATGATTAATTATATAAATCTATAATGAATTTGCATTTCAATGCACCTCCAAATTCTCTTCGGGCTAAATTGATAAATGTTTTTAGTTACCGAAAGGGAAGAAAATGAATCAATAAACGGTCATGTAATTGATAAGGTATAAATTTTTGTCTTTTATTAAAGTCCCATTAATCCCCACAAATCCATGCTTACTGACGTGTATATAATTGGGAAGATTTAACTATGAAGACGAGGGTTGATTTCGCAGCCACTCAAATACGTGATCATTCTGCAAATGAGGATTTAATTTCAGGACACTGAAAAGCTCATGAAATTGCGACTTACCGTGCAAAACCACTTGTTGTTGGGCTTGAAGATGAGCTTGCCGATGACTCCCATGCGACTTCGAGGCCCCATTCCGTGCATGTGGAGATGCTTGACGGAGTTGAAGGGCGGCCAGTGGAAGCCCAGAAGTCCCTCTTCTGCCACATTGACGCCCTTTTCCGCCAGCAATTGCTCCAGACTCTCTTTCATCTCATCCACTGAAAGACCAAAGATTAACTCAAAAGCTTCCTATAGCCGATTAGGGTGAATCTTACAGAGTGGTTTGTGCTCCATCGTAAGTTCTTTGCAGTTTTTTATGTGCCTCTTCGGCACGGCAAGATAGTGGAATTCTGTGGCAGGCTTAATGTCCTTAAATATCACAATATTGTCACTCTCATGCTCTATCACAGTTTTGCTGTCCTCCTTGCGGACAATCTTGCAGAAAATGCAATTCTTCTCCACTGTCTGCATTCTGGGGATTACAAAATATTCACCAAACTCTCACTCACACTTTTGACAGTCACAAATCCCTCCAATTGCACACATAAAGCTCCAAGAATCGTAAAAACATTTCACTGGTTTCAGCGCGCGCGCCAACACGTGTGGAGCGAAAAGAGATTCCGCCGCGTGATAAGAATGTCCAAGGATAGTGACTTTTTATATGGATTTCCTCGAGCGGCACGCACTTTCTATAAATACAACGAAAATTCGCGCAACTTTTCGCAATGTTTGACCCAAAAATCACTTCAGTTACTCCTCAGCAACTCAAAATGACGGATCTGAAGGGCGAAGAAAGTGCAGAAAGTGTTGAAGAGCCGGAAGAGGTGGAAATCACGGGAATTCACAGGGAGAAATTCAGGAAGCTCGTGAATCGTGTTGTGATGTTCAATATATGGCAAAATGTAACCGCCAAGGATTCACTGACGGCAAGGAATTTGGATGTGAAGATGAGACTCAGCGGACCGCGAGCGTTTCTCATCCAGAGAGTGAGAATTTGAGATTCCCAGGCTTTTCTCGCTTTTCTAGTTGTGTAAATAATTGTCTGAAAATAATTTAGGACTGTGATATCCTCCAAATCCCACCGCAAAAGAGGACAAAGGAGCAGAATGGACTCATTTCCAAGATTCTCAACAGGATTGTCTGCCTCAGGAGATTCTCTAAAGTGAGTGAAAAAGCGTAAAGCTCTGCTTTCTGTGTAGTAAAATGATTATTTTCCAGGATATTCGGGAAAATCTCGCTCATATTATATACTACAACAGCTATGGCAAAGGCAGAACAGTGGTGAAGGAAGGACACGAAGCTACAGGACTTTATTTCCTCATCAACGGTGAGATTACAGTCCACAAGAGGCTCTGGGACAATGAAAAGCTCACCTTCAGGTGGCTATAATAATTGTTTTCTGCTGTGGAGTGCAATTAATTGAATTCTCCACCCTTTTCACCAGGAATCAAGCTGTCCAGGCTCTCAGTTCTGGTGAGATGTTCGGCGAGGTTGGCCTGCTCTTCGATACGGAGCGTCTCGTCACGTGCGAAACGGCGAGTGAGTTGATTCTTTCTGCCACCATCAATTAGAGCCCACGAGGGATAATTTATCACGTGACGATGACAAGAAAAGCTCAACAATGCCTTCGAAAGCTACCCTGTGACTTTCTCAATGGCATTTTTATATGCCTTTTCCGTGCAGGGCTTCGAAAGGATTGTTTCGCTGGCTTGTTGATATAATTTTCATGCCCCACAACTCTCTCTCTCTCTCTCTCGCCCAGTGCCTTCATTTTTCCATGTCCTGTCGCGGAAATGCCATCAGGGTGAAAAAGTTCGGGGTGCACTTTAGTGTGGGGCTTGGCATAAATTTTCAATCCTTTGTCATCGCGAAATGTCGCGTTATCAGGAATGAGACTATATTCGAAACGAGAGAGACACGAGAGCGATGAAATTGCGTGACTAATGCTTTCCGGTTCAAATCTATCCATCAAAAAGAAATGGGAATCGATTGTGTTTTGGAATTTTTGTCGTGCGATTGTGTATTGAAATTGGATGATAAAACAATCAAAGGGTGGGTTTCTGGGTTGGCAGGGCGGGCGGGGGTGGTTATGTGGTTCTTGTCTGTGGGAAGAAAGAAAGGCTTACAGTTTTTTCATCATCATTCACCAAAACTGACACACAATTCATGTTTGCGAGGCAAAATTGCATTTCACCTCGAGAAGAGCGAGAGCTTTTCAGTTCCGACAGGAGCGTCACAGTGGAAAGACTCGAAATTGTGTGACTTTTTTTTGCACCCCCACCAAAACTTAGCCACTTGTGAGTTGTTCTTCGTGACGAGACAAGACTTCGAGGTGCATCTCCGGACGATTCTGCAGGAGCAATGGGATCAGAAGAAGGAGATCCTGGACCGTCCAGTCTTTCGTGAATACTTCCAGAACTTCTCAGACAAGCAGGTGAGCTTTTTGTGCCCAAAAAGAAACTTTTCCCTCCACATTCAATGTGTGCCAAGAAGTTTTCTCCGCATCTTCCCAGAGAATTGTGAGAAATTTAATACAATTTCTCTCTCTCTCTCTGAAAGTTTTTCCAACACAATAAGTTCTTCTTCAACTGTATCAATTTAATTCCCTTCATGAAAAGTTTTGTCTTTAATTGAGTGTTTTGAATATTAAATTTCACTTTTCTTCTTATTCTCTGGCTGAAGATTCGCGAAGCTTGTGTGCTATCAAAGTTGCACAAGTATGAGCGCGATGAGATTGTCTTCCGGGAGGACAATGGACTCAAGAGCTTCGTGTATTTCCTCCTGGCCGGGCAGTGTTCCATCATTCAGTGTCTCAAAGTTGATCACTCGCGCAAGCGACCAAGATTAATTCCACTCGACATTAGCGAGAGGCGAAAGTCAGTGAACATCCTCGACAAGTTGAAGGATCTGCAGGTGAAGAAGGAGTCTGTGATTGAGGAGGATTTTCCCCCTGAAGAGATTTCCCCGTCAAATCCAGCGTCTGCCTTCAATTACTTCGTCGTCGTGGGCGCTTTCAAGACGGGCGCAATCTTCGGCTTGGGCGAGGAGATGAACCATCGCAGTGTTGTGGCCAAGCGCCTGACAGAGTGTCTCCTCCTACCCAGATACTGGCTCATGCAGAAGGAGCAGAACATCGGGAATATCTGGAGTCGCACGAAGATCTATCTCAATCTCACGCTACCCTCGCGCGAAGCCACTTTCGAGGAGTTCCTGCGCAAGAGACGCTGGAAGCGCTACAAGAGAGATCGCATGAGGGAATATCTGGAGACGAAGAGTGACTCCCAGATCACTGCCCGCCTGGAGGATGTTCCAATTCTCTGTCGCATCGAGAATGGCTTCTAAAGCCAATCCCACCGAACGACTTCTTCTTAGTCAATTTATTTAGAGTATATTTTTCTTGTTTTTTTTTTGTACAGAGAAATAACAATTTTCTTAATGAGTTTTTCCTTTTAACATTTAAAAACTATTTTTCATGGTTGGTAGATTGTAAGGCAGTCGATTCTTTTACTGTGTTTTTTGAGTCATTTGAATAAATCATTGCTCTTGAAACAACATCTCATTTAAATATCTCTAATTAGCTCTCATTCTTCCAGCATCTCCACTTCCTCTTGTCTTCGCCTCAACTTATAATTATATGCAACCTAATAAATATATAATAAGCTAAAGATATTCGAGAAAAAATGTGGCAATTTGTCCATCTCCCATGGTTTTCTCTTGTTTTTTTTCTTCTTAGCAATGGCTCCTTATCTCTTCCTCCAATCCAATCTCCAAAGTGTGCGCCTACGGACAAGATTTGCTATGTGTGACTGGGAATGAGGAATGATGACTCAGGTGTGTGTCGCCCGGGGCGCGATCCCAGGGCCAGCGGACGGGGCGAGGAATCGCTAAAACACAATCTCACCCTCGCGGCCCGGCGCCTACACGAAGTTCTGCTGTCGCCCGTTGGGGAAGCCGTTGAGTGGCGTCGTGATGCCGTGATTGAGCGCCAGGACGCGCGTGATGATGTTCAGGTCCTCCTCCTGTGACCGCCCGCCCGAGATGCCCGACTGGTAGAGGAGATTCTGCAGCTGCTGATTGGCCTGATGCGAGGGCGTCAGCTGCCTCAGCTGCTGCTGCTGTTGCTGGAAGTTGTTGTTCGGATTGTTGGTGTTGAAGCCGAAGTTGCCGGTTTCACTGTCGTGCCGGAAGACGCGGTTGCGGTCAGGACTCGGGGGTGCGCTGAAGGATGGCGGTCCGTTGGGGTGGAAGTTGGAGAATGGCCGATGAGGAGCCTGCAGGGAGGCAGAGAGATGAGGCGGTTGGGAGAAGATGTGTGGCGAATTGCGGAAGTTGATGGCCTCCTTCACTGGCAGTTGCTGCTCCAGGAGGATGCCATTGGGCGGCGTCAGGGAGAGACTGGAGAAGAGTTGCACGTCATTTGGTGGACGATTCAGAGGAATCGGAGGTCGCTGGGAGAGTCTGAAGAGTCGCTGCTCCTGCTCATAGCGCTGCTGACGAATTCTCTGCTCTTCCAGACGCAGACGCTGTTCCAGGAGAAGTTGCTGCTGTCGCTGCAGACTCTGCTGCTCTTGGTAGATTTGATGCTGCCTGATGAGATGCTCTTGCTGCCTCTGCTGCGCCTGGAGGAATTGGATCTTCTCCTCCAGCTCGCGCTGCTTATTCTCCAGAGCCTGCTGATATGTGTTGGGCGTTGGTTGGATCGAGGGTGGCTGCGAGAGGCTCTGGATGGCCGGAACGGACTGGACTGTTGTGGCTGACTGTGGTTCTGAGTGCTTGAAGATGGGCACGACTCTCTTCGGGAGTCCTTGCTCGTCCTGCTGCACCGTGAAGGCTGCAACAAGCGGTGCCTGATGGATCTGCACTTCCCTCACCTTCTCGATATTCTCGCCATCCTCGTTGGTCACGGGAGGCTCGGGGGTCGTCGTGACGACGACTGTTGTCGAGGGCAGGGATGTGGTCGATGTGCTCTTCAGCAGGTCCTTGGACGGAGTGGTCTTGCCGGACTGTCGGTCGTCCACGATCTCGTTGGCTTGCACGCTGGTGGTGACACTCCGGGCCAGCTGAACTGTCTCGATCTTGATATCGCTGTCTTTCACGGGATCCGGCACGCTGAAGATGATCTTCTTCTTCTCGTGTTTGTCCTGCTTCGGCGGCGACAGTGTGGTCTTGGGCAGGATGATGGTCTGGAAGATGGTGTCGCCGTCGTCTCCTCCGGTGCTGCTGTTGCGATCGATGATGTAGGTGTGATACTGGACCAGCGGCAGCTTGCGATCTGAGGATGTGCTCTCCTCGAGCAACTCCTCAGACTGTTGCGTCGATGACTCTGGCGTGGTGTTCTCATCCTCCAGCTCTTCGCGCTCCAGGTTGCTCAGGGCTTTGAGGAGAGCCTTCCTGAGGATGGGATCTATCCGAACTGTTGGTGTGTCAATTTCATTGCTGGGCGCCGACAGGGATTCCGCCCACGACGCGCACACCACAGCACTCAGAGTCACCCAGAAAATCTGCAAGGAAGCCAGAAAGGGAAAGAAGCGAATTAATTGATGCTCAGCAGTGCGTAACCGGAGGAATGAAATTGCAAATCTGCAGCAATCAGTTACGCCTCAGCCGGAGCTGTTAACCCCTTGAATCGTCTCATTTGGCGCGAAAGTGAAACTCCTATCGAACACGTGCTCCAAAAACCCACCACACACACGGAAAGGCTGCGCTTCTGCCTAATTGTGCCCACTTTTGAGCCGATGCAGAAATTTTGTGAAATCTATATATTCTTTTCTCGCATAGCAAGAAAGTGTCTCTCATCGAAATCATGTGTTTGCTGTTTTTTTGGGCAAATTCCGCGCTGCAATATCACAAAATCGAGACTCCTCTTCACCTCCATCGAGCTCTTTCATGCCTCATCCAATGTTGAAACTTTCTTCCAACCTCTGTTTGTCACTTCCATAATCTTCGCACGGTGAAATGCTTTCCACGCTGTGACCTTTACCATTTCCTCCGCGATGCTGTTGCCAGAGAATTTCTCATGTGCCGCACACTCTTTACTCGTCTTTGCGCCTCAATGTTTGCTCAAATGGAGACCTTTTTGCATTGTTGAGCTCGAATTACACTAATTCTGTTTATTACTTTACTACAGATATTGTGATGTTGGTGAAGAATTCAAACACCCACCATATGATCGTAAAATATCTTTATAAGCATATCACTGGGTGATCTTCACCCACACACAAGTGCGTCTGCATGATCGCGCACAAATGGCAAATTTGCATGCGAACACATGCAACTCCTCTGATGTCTAATGGTGTGGGGCAAAAGGTTAACGCAGAGTCATTGGCAGAGAGCATACAAGTCAATTAAAATTTGTCCCTTCTCACATTCTGTATAATTTACTGAATGTCGATTTTACGCCGTGCCCTGAAGTTGACATAACACTTCAAAGACAGACTGTCCATGCAAAAAGAGTGACAAATCATTTTCCAGACACGAAAACATACAATTTCTCAGCGAATTGCTTTCCGTGTCTTTTTTTTTAAAGAAGTTGCAAAAGCTCAATTACAATTTCAATTTCATCTTCTCTCTCTCCCAGCAATTAAGTGCGAATTGATGCTGATGGCAAAGGACGATGGATTCCTCAAAGACAGAGAGATAATAAATCACACTTTAACGTGCTAAGATAGCTTTAAGATGCGATCAGGGGGGAATAAAAGGTCCCACCACGAAAGAGATGTTTCACGCGCCATTTGAATGTTCAATTTAACACGACGCCCTTCGACATTTACATCTGTCCTGTGCGGTGTGACTCTTTTATACAATTGATATTGAATATGAGACGATTTTCACCGCATATAAATTTCACATTAGTCGCAATCATTATGAAAAATTCCCCCAGTCAATTGTGTGGTTTTCAGTCATAGGAAAATCTCTCAATTTACCATCAATTAATCACTCTGTGACTCGTGTGAACCGTCAAAAGTTGGCTTTATTGATGGCTAAAGGGAAAACTACCGCGCAGAAAAAGTCAAAAGCGGAAAATGAACACAAGAGCAAAAGAGTAGAACTCAAAGTCACAATTGAAGGAGGGAATTATTGTGTGGCGGAGTATAAATCGTGATCACGACAAATTCCATATGGTTGTGGCCTTTTTTCTCCGATCGCCAAAAGCCACGGAAACGAAAAAGTGGATTGGCATGAAGCAACAAGATCGATGGATTAGCTTTAGGAAGATCACTGATCCCAATCAATTGGCACATCATTAGGCGATGCGGTTTTTTGCGGTCTTTCAGCAGCCAAAGTGTGATCAAAAGTGTGCGGATCAATTTGGCGTCTTTAGGAGGTGAAGAAGATTTCGCGATCGTGACTCATTATCGATCGCTGGTCAACGCGTCTTAAGAAGCGGAAGGGACGGCTTCTTCGACAGCACGAGAGAGGTGTGATAATGTCGAGACACGCAATGCTGAGAGATCCTCAGGTGGTTTTGGAAAGAAAGTTAGCGCAAGGTCGATTTTGGGGGCGAGCAAATGCTAGGAAATAGAGATGATTTCGACCAGGGATTTTAATTGCCAGCGGAGCTGATCGTGAGGGAGTAATAAAAATATCCACCGCGCATTTTGTGTCTCCGGAAATCCAAAGAGAAATTGACGAAGATGGGAGTAATTTTCCAGCCATGCCCGGACTGGGCAAAAGCCACCGAAGATGATCATGATCGAGAGAAGAAGAAGGAGGAAAAAAAACTGGTCAAATGGATTATTTATCAAAGTCATTTATGATAAATTACACATTAATTTTCTGTTTATGCACTCCGTGAAGTTCAGCTTGATTGCGCAGAACTGGAAATTTTTGATCATTGCGCGCATAGGAGAAATGATATACATTATTTTAATTTCTTCTCCTATTCAATTTTCCCTCCACAAGGAAGATCCGCACATCGACCATTGAAGATCCACACTCAATATACAATGCAATGGTCGATCACTTGTTGTGCGGAGTTTTTTCCACTCTCTCACACGAATTTCTTTTTTTCTGCGCTGCCCCAGCGATTAAAGAGTGATTATAGCAAATTAATTCACAGCATGGTGGATCTCGTGCGAAAAGCCACAATGTGTATCGACGAGTTAATAATGCAATTTCACTGATGAACTCCCAGGCCAAAAGATGACCAATTGGGGGGTCTTTTGTGTGTGGCGGCTGTGAAAATTGTTTATTCATCTTCACAACTCCTCAAGTCAGCGCTTCCAATAATTAAATTCTCCATTGCGACGCGATGCAGCATATTTAATTTTTTTTGATTGCGCGAAGAACGCTTGAGAAAGTGTGACATGATGAGAAGAGACGTGAAGAAAAATTGTCTCTATTGACTGCTAAACCATTTCTCCTCCCTTTCGAGTCACATTTCGTCAGCTGAGTTACACAAATATATTTCCTCCTTTTGCCAGTTGCGATTGCATCAAAGCCAACCATTCAACCACTGGAGTTATCACAATGGGATAAGTTAGCGAAGATGTTACGCATTTCATTAGACATTCAGTGAAAAATTGCCCTCGCGTTTTGAACCACATCACTCTTTTTTTTCCCGCCCAATTCACCGGAGAATTGGGAGATTGAGAGTTAATGATAGACCCTCGAGAGTGTGATTGTACGATCAATTATCAATCACGCAATGCAGAGAAGAAGAATGCAGGCAGAAAAAAGGCCGTGCGATGATAAAAACTTCCTACTCTTGGCATTCAGTTACAGTTAGACATCGAAAAAGCAATCCCAGAAGGCAAAGTATGGATTCCCAATATGAATTTTTCCACTGTGTCCGCCACTCGTCAACAAAACACTTCCTTGTCTTGCCCTCTTAAGTGCGCAACTTGAGAGGCCACTTTATCTGATTAAGTTATTACAGTGTCTGCAATTCACCTCAGCAAGTCAAAACAAACCGCGAGGATGATTAAAATAATGGCCACTTTATTCTCTGTGTCTTGCCATGGCCAAAGAGATATTGTTGCGCGCTCCATCGAGATGAAAAACTGACCCATGACCCACTTCACATTTCTCCTCTTTCACATATCCAAAACACTGATGCCGATGTGGAGTGTTTAATTTGAAATTCTAATCGGCACTCTCGATGGATTTCGGGGAGATGCTCTATGCACTCCATTGATTGTCTTTTATAATATATTTTTTCCACCGCTGTGCCGAAGATGAGAAGATCCCAGAGAGAAATTTCAAATAGAAAACCTGTCTTGGCGGTTTTGTTCAGCGAAATACTCAATTGATGCTGCTGTGCCACGACATTGTGGGAAAGAGCGACAACACATGACATTGATTTATAATTTATTTCTGTTTTTGGAATGAAAAGAAGTGAAACATACTTGAGCGAGTCGTTATATTTGTCTGTCATTTGAATATTCGAGTTGCTGCACTGCTCTGCCGTATCGACATTGCAACTCTCGGCGATATATCGAAAAAATTGTGGTGTCAATTTTTGTTATTCTTTATCAGCACTTTGTCTTTTTTGCTTATCCCAGCAGTTTTAAAGATATTTCCAGCTTCTTCAGGTAGTAATATTGTGAAGTAATCTTCCCAGACTATTCCTATCTAATAATCTTGTGTTATTCATTTAGTATTTGCAACGAAATGTCACGAGTTTACTCTGCCCTGGAGTTTGAAGAGGCAATTCTGGCCAACAGTCCGGAATGTTTCTTCACCTTGGGTCAACTGGGCAGAGTTCAAGCCAAGCCCATTGTCCGAATTGAAGATGAAGACACGGACGATGAGTGCTTTGAGGACTTGAAAGTGCAAGCACTGTTTCAGAAGCTAAATCCACGCCCGGAAGTTCCCGGACAACTGCTCAAGCCGGAATCACAGTTTTGCGACAAGGAGATCACGAGGCTGATCCAGGAGACGCACTTGCTTGGCAAGAAGCAGGGCAGACAAACAGTCATGGGGAATGCGCCGAACCCAAAGAATTACAGCAAGAAGAGTAAACCTATCGTGATTTCCTCATCTTCAAGCGATTGTGTCGAAATCGTGGAAGAGCCTAAGAAGAAGCCGAAGAAGAGGCGCACAAAGCTTCTGCTCAATCCGGCTGCACTGCAGATAAGCAAGACAGCCTCTACCGAAGCGCCAAAGCCTGAAACTCCTGAGCCTCCTGAACTTTTGTCGTCGGAAAAGACTCCAAAGCCTGATAAGAATCAACAGAAGCCAAAGGAGAAATTCTATTCGCCCAAAGAATTGTACGAGCTGAAGAAGGGACTTGAAAAAGCTCACTGAAGCTGATAATCTGGCCAGCAGTCTCCCAAAGAGTCTCTAATTAAGTGCATTTTACCTTGAAGTGAAAAGACTGTTGGCTTAATGCTCAAGACGGATGATGAATGTAAGTTTTTCAGTGGTCACAAAGATTTGTGCCATCAGATATGATCCCATGGATCACTCATGAGTTACTGCAGAGTTGTGCCTTTACATGCTCTCTCAACATGTTGACGAATTTCAAGTAAACTTTGCAATGAACTTTCTTAGCATTGTTAAAGATTGAAGAGATAATAGTGCGTTAAAAATGGATTTAAAAAAATATTTGTAATCAGATCATTTTTTACGTTTTTAATGAGGATTTTCACAACTAATAAAATGAAAATAAATGTTATGAGTAAATGAATTATAACAAGTACATAATAAAAACATTTTATACGAAAAACTCTTACTTTTCTTTCAAATAGTTTCTTATCTCAACAATGAGAGAGGAAATGTTGTCCAGAATCAGAATAATTTCCCTTAAAACACTTTTAATATCAAATATTTCGCAATTTATAGCGAGCGTCCAAATTTATACAATTTCTCCTCACAATTCAGCGTAATAAAATACAGCAAATGTAATTATTCGCTCATCTTCAGGCGAATCTACGTCAACAATGTCTGTTTAGTTAACTCTTTTAGTGCTTTTGAGCAAATTAAAAGTGAAAAGGGAAGAGAAAATTAGCGTCTCCAGCATTTCTATTGACCATCTTCCCTCGTCCAAGGTGCAATTATTGTTAGATAATTGTGGAAATGAGCATTCTCGATAGCCATCGCTGCTCATCCGCATCTTGTGCTGCTGCTGCTGGGGATCAATTAAAAATGATGATGAACACACGAAGGTGTGGGTGAGGAAAAAGTGCGGTATTTTCCCAGCTGAGGCAAGAAAACCACCGCGGCCAATGTGCAAGAGACTCCGCCGAGGCAAGTTGGAAGAACAAGCGAAGAAATTGGATCAACGAAACTGAGACTCTGAGATTTTATTGTATTCCACTTGCCTTTGCCCATATATTTTTTTTATGCAATTTCCAATTACATGAAACATCACACTATGGGATTAATTATATTTTACGCAAAAAAAACTTAATGATTTATGCTAACCAGACTGGTGAAAAAAAGGGGGATTTCTTCTCTTGTAGCAATATTATGCAATGGAATTCAATCAGCTTTTCCCGGCCCAATTTAATTGCACATGCATCGCAACCTCAGCGAGCGTCTCAATGGGCATCAGCTGCTGGGCTGGTTGAGGAGGAAATAGGAAGAGGGAAAGAGCGCGCTGAGGTGTTAGAGATTGAGATACAATTTAGCCGGGTTAACAGAGCTGTTTTCTGCCGTGGTTGGAAATGCGCGCTGACGGTGCGCGCGAAAGATTCCCAGAGGGAAGGAAATTAAGGTGTGAAAACAAATGAGACTCTAATTTTTTCTCCACAAAGCCAGTCTTTTGTCTTTAGAGACACTTTCGAAGAGAGTCGGTGCGGGGATGTGCACAGAGGAGAGACAAGTGCTTTTGAGGTCATTTCACATGCGAGCATCGCGTAGATTTTTACCACCGCGCGCACTCTCAATATTGGCCATAATCGTCATCTTTTGGCGCAATTTAGTGCTTCTTCGCGTATATGGATATTTTTGCCAGAAGCGCGCGCGACCGCCAAAAACTTTCTCCGCTGCGCGACTTCAGCATCGCGCTCTTTTTTGCCCATCATCAAGCCTCGATACGCGATGGCTCTCCTTGATGTCTTCTCCTGACGCGCTGTTTGTCTTCCAGCGGAACATGGAGTCTTTTTTTACTGCCTCGCGCATCTCAAATCTCTCTGTCAATGCTAAGTGCAGAAGAGAGACTCTCATTAAAATCCATTGTATGCCGAAAATTCCGCGCGCGGATTCTTCAGGCTCTCCAGAGAGGCGGATGTGCGCGAGATTTGGCGGAAAAATCACAGCTGGACGCGCGCGCGCATTTTCTATTTATCCATCACAAACATCATCTCGCGAGAGATGCTAATTGAAGGCACAACACGGTGGACTCAATTTCTTTTATCTCAGCCTCTCCAGAGACTTTTTCTTCCCTCCTTTTTCTCTCTCTCTCTCGCCCAACATCAACTGAAAATCCAATGTTGATTAATGCCTGTGTCTCTGAGAATGGTGGAAAAAAATAGAGACGAAGGCAGAAAGAAGAGGCTGGAGGTTGTTGGCCTCTTTGGCCAGCGTGGATGCTTAACAATGCACCCGAAGAATCTCAATGTGCTTATCGAATCAGTGCGTCTTACGTCTCTGGGCGCGATGGGAAAAAGTTAGAAACATGCCCACGGATTTATAGTGCGAGCTTTTCGATGCAGATTGTCCCCAAAACAGAGTACATCACGTAAAGGCGATGGAAAATTTATGTATGCGCGGAAAGCTGAGAAAATTGATGATCGTTTTTTTGAGACAATTTCCTTTAATTCAAGAGAAATCACGACACGTGGAGAGATTTTGCTTGAACATATGTATTGTCCAAATTAACCCAAATCTTGCAATAATCTTCCGTCAGAGTACTTTCTCATGATCAAAATTAACACAATTTCATTAATTAAATCCAGCAAATTCGCAGAGTTGCTCACCCCTCGACTGAAAAGTCCTCTTTGGTGTTGATCATTTGAATATTGACTATGGAAATGGTGTCTTAAATGGTGAACAATCTGCGGCAATTGTTGTATATGAAAATGCAAGAGATTTCTCCTATAATTTCGCCAAATCGCACTCTTCTCTTGATAGTGTTTTCTGTGCGATTGCATTTTTTCTCCGTTGGAAAAACGTGCCTTGGCAGAAGCATTTTGCCTCCTGCACTTCAATCTCTCACAATAAATTCCCTGCGGTTTGATGACGCGCGAATTCCATTGATACTTGCCCAGTTCATGGTGGGTCCTCTCTTGGTAAAGAGACTCCTTTCTGCAGAGAAAATCCTCCCAAGGGGTGGAATGGATAAAATCCCTTAGAGATGCTGATGTGCGAAATCCAACACAATGCAGAGGGGAGGCAGAGAAGTGAGTCACAACAAAACTACAAATCGATGCAAAACACACTTTTTTTTTCTTCTTTCTTAAGTTATAAAAATCGAGACGGAGCACAAAAAGCGCCAACAATAGTCCACTATTCGCCGTGAAAGACTCTCACCGACTGATAGAAGATGCCAGATGAGGTGCAGAGAAAACACGATTCTCCAAGAAGCTCCTCCACCAGCCATTTCCATACCACACAACAATTGCTCGCGAGACACTCGAAATATCGCCGGATAATCCACGGCGTGGTGGGGCAATTTCTCTCACTCCTCGCGCCAACGAGAAGGAGGAACCGCCACAAATCAAGTGTTTCCAGTGTCTTCTGGTGGAAATGTGAAATTAATCAATATAATTTTCAGCTACACTGCCCAATAACTGCATGCCGCGCGAGTCGCGCTTCTGACGCTGCCGCACAAGAACAAGATGTTCACCGGTGAAAATTGTGCTCACGGCAAAATCACCTTCAACTTCTCAACATCACACCAATTCCATGCCCAAAGTTGGGAAGATGAAGTGCAGCATCCAATTGAGAGAGGTGTGGACCCAATTTATGCCAAGACACAGAAATCATCCTCTCATTCTCTGTGCCATTCGCAAGTTCAGAGGTTGGCGCTGAGAAAGACTGATTGAAAGTCTCCCACAGGATTTTGACCTTTCCGCTGTGGAAATTACCTCTGGTATTCCATTTGCAATTGCACACGGAGAAAATTGCATCAAATACCATCTCAATGGTAACGCATGATTAAGTGCTGGGCAGAGAGAGAGAGAGAAATCTTGCATAATATTTGCGCAATAGAAGTCAAATTGGGTGGCGTCATTATATTCTTATTTTATTGCTCTGCAGCCCAAATAAGTATGCCTCCCGGAGGTGTGCCTGATGAAAAATTGAGAAAATCGTGCCATTTCAGCATAGAAACACTCTCAAGTTGGTTGAGAGAAAATAGAGAATCACATATAGAAAATAATATTGCACAGAAAAACCGAGCAATATCGCGTATTGTTTGTTGCCAATAAATCGTTATTGTTACAATCTTCAATGCAATTTATTGTTGCAAATTAGATCTTTGGCGGTTTGATGATCTAATTTCAGAGTCCCAGAAATTATGCCTTTCAGATGATGTGAGTGTCTGCATTCAAAATGATCTTTAAATAGCGGACTGTGGGGCAATTTCTGACAGCATATTACACCAAAACGCAGTCAAGAAATGTCGCCTCACTCTCCTATAATTCCGTATAAATTAATAATTTAATATCTAATTTTTTATATGCCTAATTTATAGTTCTTCACGCAGTGACATAATTTAATGCGCGATTCTCTGGTGGCGTGGGAAAAAGACATGCCGTAAACGAGAGCGACCAAAATAATGCTAATGGGTCATTCTTGAATTTGCACATTATTTGCAAATGTCGAGAATTCCAACGAAAGCAACACTTTTCACTGCTCACCATGTTGAGGAACAGATGTGCAAACAACACCTCTTAAATCACATCAAACTCCCCTCCGGATGACTTTCCAAAAAACCACTTCTTCGATTTGCAAATATCGTGAAAAATGTTAAAAATCTGGCCACGTGTGTGATATTTTTTCGCTTAAATACCATTGAGTTTGTTGTGCAAGATGCAATCAGAAGTTGGGGCTCCTGAATTTATGGTTTGTACTCCACCCACAGCGCTATCCGATGTTCCCATCATCTTGAGACATTGCGGAAAAGAAGTCGATGAAAAGGCCATCAAAGTGAGATTGAGAGAGGTTCAAGAGGTCGATAAATTTGTGATCTGACGTGGGTGTCTCAGCGCTTTTAGCTAAAAGCATCAAAAACCGATTTTTCATATTAATTTACGATCACTTTCTCGCGAATCTCTTCTCATATTCACCCATTGTTGCTGGGTGGCAAACTGGCGATGGCCAAAGCACAATGGTAATGATCTTTTAACAGTGCCATTTCGGCAATTGATTCTTCAACATTATATGAAGATGATTTGAAGTGCTATTCGATGAGTGTCTGTGCACGCTTCACATGTCTCGAAAACCACCTTCACGATGGAGAAATATTGACATCCCACTTGAAGATGTAAATAGAGGCAGCACGGAATTTTATGCTGAGATCTTAATTGTTTTCCCCACAAATGCTCTCTTTCTCACCTCACATCTTATACCGTTACAACAACCGATGGATTTTCATTTCCTCGAGAAGGCGCACGCTGTCTCTCTTTAGCACTTCTTCTCTTTGGAGAATCTTAAGGTGTTGCACAGCCAGAAGAAATTTTGAAGACCCTTGAAAAATCATACCAATTTAGCTCATGATAAATTCATAACATCATCTTCCCAAACAA